GAAACCCCTGGCGCCGACAGACCCACCCCAGTTTTGACTGCGTCAATAAAAAGCGAGACCCCAACCGACAGAAATCAGAGTTTGAGCCGCGGACGGCGGGGGCCAGGTTCGTTCGCCCTTTGCGGGCAAGAGTTTGGCCCTGGCCAGAAGAAGTTCGTCCGGCCCAAGCCGAAGTGAAGAAGTTCGTCCGACCCAAGCCGAAGAGAAGAAAAGGTTCGCGCACCGACGGCGGAGATGAGTGACCAGTAATTCAGACTCTGAAGAGAAGAAGTTAGTTCGCGCACCGACGGCGGAGATGAGTGACCAGTAATTCAGACTCTGAAGAGAAGAAGTTAGTTCGCGCACCGACGGCGGAGATGAGTGACCAGTAATTCAGACTCTGAAGAGAAAAAAGATTGAGCCGCGGACCCTGGCGAGAAGTTTTGAACCTTGGACGACAAGCAGAGATGAGCGCCCAGTGTTGAAACCGCGTCAAGATAGCTGACCAAGATTCACGCTCACTTCTGGACTCTTCTTTAACCAAGAACAAATAGTTTGAAGAGCGACTTAAAATCAGACCACAGAAATAAGTTTTTTTCGACTTTCGTCCAAAGACACAATCGAAACACAAATTTTTAGAGAGCAGACAACTTGAAGCCTTAAAGTTGCCTAGTAAAAGCGTCGTGCCACAATCCACAGAACGGGTCGGGGGAAGTAGACATAGTCCTATGTACCGAGCAAATAGACATAAAAAGTTTGTTACCTTTTTTCTTTTAATACGTTGGACCTTGTGAGTTTTATTTTGTTTTCTTTTATACATAATTGTGTGTTGACTCAACTTGCAATACGGCCCCAACCCCGTTTGATCTCGTCTGTCTAAGATCAATTCACAACGTGGGTAGGCAGACTGGAGATCAGTGCAGTTACCCTGGTAACCAGGCGTTGGAAGCGGGTTGGGAACGGCGAGGCTGGTATCAATCTAACCAAAGGGTTAGAACGTCACGTTTGGAGCAGCGAGGAGCAAACAGCTGACGCCGCGGCGAAGACGTCACAGTTGGTGCTGTACGTGACCAGGATATCAGAGCCTGGGGAGCACGTGACGTCACAATTGGCGCCGCGACCGGGATCGAACGACACAGTCGACGCTGCGACCGGGGGACGACGTCACACCCCACCCTTCTCTCATTCTTTTATTATTAGCTTTTTGATTTGATTTTATTTTTAAATTAATATTTTATATTTTCCGTTTCCTTTTAATTTTTTGTAATCCCCTGCTAAAGTTTATCTGTTTTATTTTACGCCAGATTTTTTTTTCATTGTTTACGTTATGTTATATCGTTCTTTGTTATTCTTTGTTTTTCGTTCTTTGTTTTCCCTTTTTAAATATCCGTTAAGTTTTCTGTGTTGTACTTGTGAAATATTTTCTGTACATATTTGTTTTAATTTTCTTGTATTTGTAATTTTTTGTCTAATTTGTTCGTTTTTTCTGTTTTTGTTTTTCTTCGTTAACGGCCAGACTTGGTATTTTAGCGGCCATATTTGTTTTTGTCATTTGTTAGTTTCGTATTAGTTCCGTATTTTCTTTCGTGTTCTGATCCTATTACTGTTGTTTGAATTTATTTGTGTATTTTTATACTTTTTCGTACGCTTAACTCATTTTTGTTGTATAGTCCTTTTAAAAAAAGGATTTTGTAATTATCATAAAGTCATTGACGTCCCTGGGGATTAAACCACAGAGAGTCATTAAAGGCAAAGGCTTCTTCATGAGGGACATACTGTTACCCACTCCTGCCGACTGTGAAGCGGTGAGCACTCGGGACCTAATAACAAAAGATCTAATACTGAGGATCGAATATCAAGGCAGGCGTAGGACCAATGTTTCAGTTTATGAGGTCCCTCCTCAGATTGTCGGCGAGCACTTGGCCGCCTATCTGTGCCAATTTGGCCAGATGCTCAGTGCGTCCTCCGACGATCTGAGCGGGGGATGGAGTTTTGAATTGATGGTGGATCAAAAGCCTTCACCTCCATCCCCAACTGCCTGGTTGTTGAGGGCCAGAGGATGCCAATCATAGTCACAGGTCGAAGACCGGCTTGCTGGAAGTGTGGACACACTGGTAACCTGTCCTCTTCCTACCCAGAGATGAAGGCCTCTGGAGTTCTGCCCCCCCACCGACACAAATCCCCCCCTCGGGCTGAGTCTGTTGTTTCCGAATCGCCTGTAATGGGCATACCAAAAGCCGGGACCGGTGTGGTAATACCCCGGTTGGGTCCGTCTCACGGCCCCCACTCCCCGAAAAGCCTTCGCCCGCCGCTAGTGTGGTTATGGAGGAGGAAAAGATGGAATGGCAGGTTGTTGGTAAAGCTAGAGGGAAGATCCGGGCAGCGGGTCCTCGTCCCAATGAAGCCCCAACAGGAAAAGACACAAACAGTCCCACTCCCTCAAGCAGTACTAAGGATGTCTCCCCGACCAGCTATTCTGAAAAATTACGTCAGCAAAAACAAAAATACGAACCATCTTTTGAGAAAGCTGAAAAATTGCACCAACTTACGGATTCTTTGAAACAAAATGGGAAAAAAAATTGACACCAACTCCACGGCACCGTCTTCTGCGTCAGCCAAACAACACATAATGTCCAGTCCTAAGATCCTCATCTCCATCTTCCACAAAACTCACTACACTAAAAAAAAGCCCCCCCCTTCAGAGTTTCACCCGCCAAAGTCCATACTTCTACTATTAGCCCCAAACCATCCCCTGTCAAAACTCCGGCAGCAACTCCAAAAACGGTTGAAACGACCAAAAGGCAAAGAAGCCCTTCTCCCGAAAATTTGGACACTACATCATATACAAAACTGAAACCGATTTTCAACACAGGGGAAGACGTGTGCCGGGTCTCCAAACAACTAGAGGACAAAGTCCTTCGATATTCCAAAAAAATGAAGAACATTAAATCTTTAGTAAATTTCCGAAAAATAAACAACTTAGACGTTAAAACCCAAAAAATTTCCCCAATGCCAAAAAGGGTGTTAACTGTGATCAGAGGGGGTGAAGCTGGACAACAAATTTGGGAAATGGTTGCGGAGGCAAATGATGTTTTTGGCATGTTTCCGCCCATGGCCTGCTTTGACAACGACAGTGTTGAAAATTTGCAACAATTTTGTTCAGTGAGGTTCCCTCTTTTTGTTCACCCCTCCCTGTATAGAGCTTTAAAATTAACATTCTCTCTGGACATTGGCGGTCTTGTCTCCCGACGGTACCATCAAAACTGAGATGGAAACAGGCTCAATGGGAGAGGCCATTGGTGTCCTTTCCCCGTCCATGTTCAATGCAGGAGAGCAACAGTAATCGGTTTCATTATGGCTCTCTGGTTAGCTCGTCTGAATGTCCGAGGCCTGAGGGCGGAGTCTCGCAGGGCAAGGCTCCTTTGTGACCTTCAGCGTCTCGGAGTGAATGTTGTGTACAAGAGACCCGTTTTTCTACTCATGAGGATGAGGACATTCTGTCTAGGGGGTTCTCCCTCTATTCAGCATGTTTTGATGGTCGTTCGAGAGGTGTCTCTTGGCTAGTGAGCAAGTCTTTGAAGGCTGCGTGTACTCTTGTCTTCGCAGATCCGGCGAGCATGCATTGCGTGCTGGATGTTACCATAAAGGATAAGGCTCTTCGTCTCATTGGGGTTTATGTGCCCAATGTCCATTTTGAGCAGCCTGCTTTGTTTCGGCAGATCCAGTCGTTTTTGACGACATCTCGTCGGGTAGTTTTAGCGGGGGACTGGAATGCCGTCCTTGACCCCGATATAGATCGTATAGGACCAAATTCGGGTACTAAAAACCGGGACGTGAAAGCATTTCGTGACTTTATCGACAGGTTTGATAAGTACCGGAATGAGCACCCTCGGGAGGTAGTTTGGACTTGGACAAATAGTGGTGGCTCGGATGCTGGGGCTATTTCTAGCTACCTCGACCGAGTCTTAGTTAAGAGAGTCGATGTAGGGTGTCCAAGTTTTCATTATATAGTTTATACGGACCATAGGCTTGTCCAGGTCCGTGTAAACTTAGATAAGTCTAAGGTTAGGTTGGCTGGATACTGGAAATTGAACGGCTCACTAATTGGTGAGCAGGATTTCTGGGACCAGCTGCTCTAATTATACAAAAGGAATTGACGGGGCGGTCGTTTGGAATGCCTGGTGGGACAATTTAAAATCGAAAATTAGAACGTTTGCTGCTGATTTTAGTCGTCGACTCAATCTAGATAGATTAGCGGCGCAAACGGCTTTAGAGCAAAAAGTAGATCAGGCAGTGAAATCCCGTGATAGTGGGATAATAGCCTTAGCTAAAGCAGAGTTGTACTCCTTGCTTATCAAGAAGGATCAAGCTCTGGTAGTTAGGGCTAGGTTAAAAAGAATATCCTCTGAAGCGACGAATATGGCCGCTGACTTGAGTCTCGGAATGCATCTCGGCGGCATATCGCGTGCGTCACATTGCAGGATAAGAGGACCGTGACTTCAAACGCGGGCATATGTGAGGCTTTTCGTGACTACTTTCAGGATCTTTTCACCAGGGAGCCCGGTCTGAACTCTGCTCAGTTCGACGCCTATTTAGCTGAATTTCCCTGTCTTGAGGCAGCTGAAGCGGCTAGTTGCGAGGGTCCCATCACAGAGTTGGAAATCTGGGAAGCGTTGAAACAGGTTGGCCTGGACAAATCTCCGGGATTAGATGGTCTTCCCTACGAAGTTTACTTGAGGCAGTCGCCCGTTTTTGTTCCTTTGCTGGAACTGATTTTCAACAATTGGATGAAGCAGGGGTCTATACCTCAGCGCTTCACTAGGGGTGTGATCAAGTTGCTACGAAAGGACAAGAACGGTGGGGATGGGTTAGGTAATTTTCGCCCTTTAACTATGTTAAATACAGTTTTAAAGATTTTGGCAAAGATCTTAGCCAACCGTTTGCAGGCTGTCCTGTCTAGTCTTATTGGCTCCGAACAGACTTGTACTGTGAAGGGTAGGACTATTCAGGACATCCTTCATATGGTACGCTTGATCATGGAGAAAGTCGACAGTGAAGCCGCGCTGATCAATTTAGATCAGTCCAAGGCCTTCGATAGGGTTGACCAGCGATTCCTGGAGGCTGTCCTTTCGGGGGCCGGTTTCGGTCCGTACTTTCGCACCTGGATCCGGCTTCTGTATGCGACTCCCGGTGCGCTGGTGAAGGTGAATGGGTTACAATCGGAGCCTTTCGTATTGTCTCGCTCCATTCGTCAAGGTTGTTCGCTTTCGCCTTTGCTTTACGTTCTTGCGTTGGAACCTTTCCTTCGCAAGTTAAAGTCGAATCCGGTCCTGCGCGGAATCTCCCTGTCTGGGGCTACCACCTCGGCCAGGTATTCTGCCTATGCTGATGACGTTTCGGTTCTTTTGTCGAGCAGAGTCGAGATTGACGAAGTCAGCAAAGAGATCAGTGGTTATGAGATGGTGACAGGATCCAAGATCAAACGCGATAAGTCTGTTGGCTTGCGGTTGGGTGCGTGGAAGGGAGTTTCTCTTCCCGGACTTTTCCTCTGGACGGATGGGCCGACCAAGATACTCGGCGTCTGGTTCGGTCCTGATATCCAGTTGGAAATGAATTGGTCGGAGGTACGCGGGAAGGCCGAAATCGAAATTATTTGTAGTCTCGGAGGAATCTTTCCTTGAAGGGGAGGGCGGATGTATGTGTTTCACACATCTACCTGATTCTCCTTTACGGACTCTCTGTACTTCCACTTCCGTATTCCACACTAATGTCATTAGTAAAGCTTTTGTTCTCTTTCTTGTGGTATGCCGGGAGATCTGTTGCCTTCATCCATCTGAAGGCGGTCTGGATATGCCTACCATTGAGATTCGTCAATATATGCTTCGCATCGGGTTCCTAGATCGAATGTGTTGCGAATCGGATAAGGAGGGTGCCATCTGGAAGGAAGACGCCCGTAAAACTTTCCCATCCCTGAGAAGTGTGCACTCGAGCGAGGAGGAGGCCCATTGTTTGCCCCGAGCCGAATGCTCCTATTGTGAATGTCGTATTGCTCTGAAACGTCTCTTATGGGCGTCGGATGGCCTCTCCAACGTCCAGGTGTTGTCCCGTAGGGCATTATATCAAGTGTTAGTCAGGGGAGCCGTGCGCGATGAACTGATTGACGAGTTCGGTCTCACGAAGCAGGAGGCTCGCTCAATATGGCCTTGGGCGCCTGGGTTGAAATGCCTCAATAACGATGAGGCATCACTCACCTTGCTGATGATTCGTGGGGCCCTCTGGGTCGCCAAAAGACTTTATTCAGCGGGCTTGGAGAAATCTCCAAACTGCCGTCGCTGTAGTGGGGAAGTCGAGACCATTGGTCACGCCTTTTTTCATTGCAGGGTGGTAGCACCGTTGTACAGGTTTGTCGAAGGCCTCATGGTCCGCATGCTGCAAGTAAAGTTTTTCGTCCTTGAAGCCAGTTCTCTTTGTAGCAATGTGGTGCCGCAGATGACGAAGGCTGAACACTATGTGTTCTTTTGCTTACTAGGGGTTATGAGAGTCGTGATTTGGACGACACGTAAGAAGGAATTCTATGATGGCGAGAAGTTCACTTCTTCCCAACTGATCTTGTTCTTTAAACATCAACTTAAAGTCAAGATTAGAACGGAAAAGCGGCGGCTCACCACAACAGAATTTGGTAAAAGGTGGGTGACTCTTGCGCGATTGTGTCGAGTAAAAGGGGGCCTGACCTAGAGTGGCATTTTGATGCCCCGGTTAGGCATCCGGATATTGTTCTTCCTGGGTTGAACTTGGGCAACCCTTCCCGAAATTAGGTTAGTGTAGGTTTTGTTTTTTGAATCTTTAGTTTTTCTTTTTTTTTCCAGTAAAGTAGGGTGTGTTTGCTCATTGGCCCCTTTTATTTCTGTCCCTATTTTTTTCTTTAGTTTAATTCCCCACCCCATCCCTCGTTAAGTGATGTCAGTTCTCTGGTGGATGCGGGGCACTTTTTCATTTTTTTCGCCTGTGTGTGTTTTTTCGTTTTTTGTTGTCGTGTTTGGATGAGTGCGTGTCTGTGTGAATGCAAGGGATAAATGAATTTTTTTATATTTTGTAGGCCCGCATTGATTTCGTCCAGTAAACTGATGTTTCTACCACATTTAACTATTGTGTTTTTTTATTACTAACAATGTTTTTGTTTAGTTTCTTGTAAATAGATTAATTCATATTGTATATATTCTTTAGGGACCCTTTAATTTGTTGTTTCATCCCCCACCCCACATATGACGATTTGTACATATGCGGAGTATTTAGGATTTTCATTGAGGCAATGAGGTATTATGGTGGATATAGTAAGAAAGGCTAGTAAGAATGTGATGTTTTGGTGTTAGGAATATTGTTTGTATGCTTGGGTCAGTGCTTATGTCTAGCTAAGTTTAAATTAAGACAGATGAAGACCGTCCTTTCCCCCATCTCCTTTTTTAGGCCTTGTGCCACATTTTCTATAATTTTACAGAAATAAATATTGTAATATGCTAAGTAGTTTACCATTAGCAGTGGTTTACCTACTTCATGCCGCTGGCGAGTATTGTATTTTGTTGATGCTCTAAAGATTACCATTTCATTTCTAACATTCATTTGCTTAATCCTCATTCAGTAACCTTTTCTGGGTTACAACATACATGTAAATATTTATATGGTTGATTTGGGCTTTATAAACAATAATAATATTTATAGGGGTGATTGGTTTGGTAAAATCTAAGCAAATATTTATATATGTGATTTAAAAACAACATCAACAATTACATGAGTGATTTGTTTGGTGATTTATAAATAAATATTTATGTGTTGTTATTAGGGATTTATAGACCATATCAATAATTATGGGGGAATAGATTGATGAATAATATTCATATGGGTGATCTGGGATTTATAAGCAGCAGAAACAATTATATTGGTGTTAGGGATTTATTAGAATGTACTTATTTTTGATAAAATATTTATATGGGTGATTTGGGATATATGTCAGTAGCAATAATTATATAGGTGACTGGTTTGGATATTTATTTGCAAAGATTTATATGGGTGATTTGTTATTTATAAACAACAGGAATAATTATATCGGTGATTTGCTTACTGAATTATTAAAAGTATCTATATGGCTGATTTGAGATTTATAAACAATAGCAACAATTATATTGGTGAGAGGTTTATAAGAAAATATTTATATGGTGATTTGAGATTTATAAGCAACAGTAACAAATAAATGGGAAGAGGGTGGAAAAGGATTTATAAGAAAATATTTATATGGGTGATCTGATATTTACAAACACCAGGAACAATTATGCGGGTAATTGGCTGGGTGATTTAGAAGCAAATATGTATATCGATTAATTGGCATTTATAAACAGCCACAATTATATGGGTGATTGGCTTAGTGGTTTATCAGCAAATATTCATATAAGTGTTTTGGAATTTATACATAACAGTCATTTGGGTGATTGGCGATCATTTAAAAGGAAATATTTATATGGGTGATTTAAGTTTTATAATTAACAGCAATAATTATACATCGTTTATGTTTTATAACAAATATTTATTGACTTGGTTATGAACAACAGGAAAAATTATTTCAGTGGTTGGGTTGATGAAATGTTTATATGGGTATTTGGGGATTTATAAAAGATACCAACAATTATATGGGTGACTGAACATGTTTTATAAACAATATCAATAATTACAGGAGTGGTTGGTGATTATTTATAAACAATATTTTATGGGTGATTTCGTATTTATAAACAATAACTAATTATATGGGTTATAGGCTTGGTGATACATAAGCAAATATTTATATGGTCGATTTTTTGGCCGTATTAGCAACAAGATTTATGCAGGTGATTGGCTTTGTGATTTATTAGAAAATATATATAAGAGTGATTTGGGATATATATCTCACTAGCAATAATTATATTGGTGATTGGCATGGCGATTTATTTTCAAAGATTTGTATGGGTCATTTATAAACACCAGAAACAATTATGTGGGGTATTGCCTGGGTGATTTAGAAGCAAATATGTATATCGTTTACTTGGCATATATAAATAACAGCCACAATTATATGGGTGATTGGATTGGTGGTTTATCGGCAAATGTTTTTATATGGGTGTTTTGGGATTTAGAAAACACATGTATTTGGGTGAGTGGCTATCATTTATAAGTAAATATTTATATAGGTGACTTCGGATTTATAAACAATAGCGATACGTATACAGGGGATTAACGATGAATTATAAGCAAATATTTATACGGGGGATTTGGTATTTATAAACAATTGCTACAATTATATGGGCGATTGACTTGCTCATTTATAAGAAAATATATGGATTATTGGGTATTTATAAACAATAACAATAATTATACATTTGACAGGCTTGGTGATATACAAGCAAATATTTATATGGGTCATTTTTTGCCTTATTAACAACAACACTTATGTAGATGATTGGCTTGGTGATTTCTGAGTAAAAAATATATCAGTAATTTATAAACGATAGCAATAATAATAATAGTGGATGGCTGTTGATTTATAAGCATATATTTATATTGGTGATATGGTATTTATAAACAACAATTATATGTGTTATTGGCTAGGTGATTTATATTTAAATATTCATATGGGCGTTTTTTGTTTAATGGAAAACAGGAAGAAGTATCTGGGTGATTGGTGATGATTTATAAGCAAATATTTATATGGGTGATTTGGAATTTATAAACAAAATAACAATTATACGGGTGATTGACGTTGATTTATTATCAAATATTTATATAGATGATTTGGGATTTATAAATAACAGCAATATTTATATGGGTGATTGGCTTGACGATTTATTAGCAAATCTTTCTATGGGTTATTTATAATGGCAATAATTATATGGGCGATTGTCTTGGTGATTTCTAAGCAAATATTTATATGGGTGATTCGGGATTTATAAACAATAACAATAATTATATGTGTCATTGACAATGATTCATATGCAAATATTTATATCGGTGTTTTAGAGTTTATAACAATATCAATAATTATACAGGTGATTGGCGATAATTTATAAGCAAATATATATACGGGTTATTTCGGATTCATGATCAACATCAATAATTAAATGAGTGATTGGCTTGGTGATTTATAAGCAAATATTTATATGGGCCTGTTGAGATTTATAAACAATGGCAACAATGATGATTAATAAGCAAATAATTAATATGGTGATTTAGGATTTATAAACAATAGCAATAATTATATCGGGGCTTGACTTTTATAGGGATGGTTTGATATTTACAAATAATATCAATAATTATATGGGCGATTGGCTTGATCATTTATACGCAAGTATTTATATGGGTGATTTTCGGCCTTATTAACAACATCAAAATTTATGTAGGTGATTCGATTGGTGATTTTTTAGTAAATAATTATATGAGTAATTTATAAAAGATAGCAATAATTATAGTGGTGTTTCGCTTAATGATTTATAAGAAAATATTTATGTGGGTTATACGGTATTTATAAGCAACAATTTTAAGTGTTATTGGCTTGATTATTTATAAGCAAATATGCATATAGTTGTTTGGCGATTTATAAAGAACAGGAATAATTATACGGGTGATTGGCAATGATTTATAAGCAAATATCTATATTGGTGATTTTGGATTTATAAACAATAGCAATAATTATATGGGTGATTGACTTGACGATTTATTAGCAAATCTTTCTATGGGTTATTTGGAATTTATAAACAATAATTATATGTGGTATTGACGATGATTCATACGCAATTATTTATATGGATATTTTGGGGTTTATAAAAAATACCAATAATTATAGTGGTGGTTGGCGATCATTTATAAGCAAATATTTAAATAGGTGATTTGATATTTATAAACACCAGAAACAATTATGCTTCTGATTGGTTGTGTGATTTATAAGCAAATATATGGGTCTGTTTAGATTTATAAACAATAGCAATAATTATATGTGTGATTCATGAGCAAATAATTAATATGGATTTATAAACAACACGAATAATTATATAGTCGATTGGCTTGGCTATGCATGAGCAATTATTTATAAGAGCGATATGAGATTTATAAACAATAGCAATAATTATTGCAGGGCTTGATTTGGTTATTTATTATCAAATATTTTTAGGGATGATTTGGTATTTAAAAATAATATCAATAATTATCCGGGCGATTGGCTTGATCATTTATAGGCAAATATTTATATGGGTGATTTAGGATTTATAAACAATAGTTATAATGATATGGGTGGTTCACGATGATTTATAAGCTAATATTTAATGGGTTGTTTGGTTTATAAACAATAGCAATAATTTTAGGGGTGGTTGGCTTGATGCTTTATAAG